TACTTCCTCGTAATAGATGGTTCATCGGCTCTTTTTCCTTCTAGTAATCCATAGTAGCTCCTATTTTAATTATTTTCCTTCTGTAATCTGAAAATGGCTTTGTAAATCCTTCAGGATTGTTTTTGTCGCACACCTTGCAGGAGGAAGAATCAAAAGAAACAGGGGTAAACTCCCCAGTGATTGCAGCATTGCGGGAAGAAAACAGATAGAGCAGCAGGTGACTAGAATAGTGGCATTAATTTATATTCTGAGACACATTGTGCACTAAATTTTATTTTGGAAGTTGCTGTATTTTGTTCTTATGTTTTAAAAACATGTTTTTTTTTTTTTGGTTTTCCACAAATCGCTGTATGCTGAGTTTTTTATTTGGCAAACGATATGTCAAAGCCCTGCAGCACCAGTTTTTGTTCACATCTGCTGATTTTGTAGTTTGATGTGATTTCTTGCTTCATTTTGCTGTTTGACTTAGTTGCATATTCTGTATTTAGTTTGTAATAAAACAACGGAAGTCATAATTTAATTAAAACAAGATTTGTTTCAGCAAAGCACCTAAGCACTATCAGACTATTAGCATTATACTTTCAACCCTTTAGGTAATCTTTCAAATGAGGACAGAAAAGAAACTGACAACTAAGATTCAAAGATATTTACAAAAAATAAGTTAAGAATTGTCTTATTATAACTTGGAATTGGACTAAATCAGCAGGAAATGTCTTGTATGGAGAGAGATATATTTGCCTGGCAGAGTTTGAGAAAGACGGAGAAAGATAAGAGAAAATGAAGAAGAGATAACTAATTTAGTTGGTAAGACATAGCAATTGATGGTCATTAAGATGTACATGTGTGCCCTGGGTGAAAAAATAGGAGATGGAAGACATGTGCAAAGTAATAGAAGCAATTTTACAGTAAAAATGATCTGCAGCAGACCCTAATAATGAAGCTATTTCTACTTCTGATGGTTGTGACATGATTTATAGAGCCAGTTGCTATAAGCATCTTTTTGGAAGGTTAATGGCTAACTTATCTTCTGCCATCAAAGTCAAGGCCCTTTAACTGAAAGTCACAGAAGATCAAAGCTGATGCCTATTTGAAACAATAATGATTTATCCAGCTGACCTATTCAATTCTAATGATTTATCCAACTGACCTTTGCAATCCTAATGATTTATCCAGCTGACCTTTGCACTCCTTATGATTTATCCAGCTGACCTTTGTAATCCTAATGATTTATCCAGCTGACCTTTGTAATCCTAATGATTTATCCAGCTGACTTTTGCAATCCTAATGATTTATCCAGCTGACTTTTGCAATCCTAATGATTTATCTAGCTGACATTTGCAGTGTTAATGGCTATGAAGAAGTTCTGCTTTAACTTCATCCCATGCAGAAGGGTTAGTTTCTCTATGTTTGGACAAGGTGTAATGATCATGGAGAATAATTGGGATGTGCCTGCAGATGCTGCAACAGAAGCTTAATGTGTGTGAGGGAAAGAAACTAGCTTTCTCCAAGCTTAGTAATCGTGAATGACTCATGAGAAAGAGCCAGATCATGTTGTAGTCATTTCGCTTATACTGTCTTTGACAGAGATTCATTTCATGGACTACATTGTTCTGTTCGTGGGCAAGAGGCATTCTGTTAGAATCGACTGCTGCAAACCTTCATTGTGGAGACAGCAAATGATTTATCAGTTATGGAGTTCAATATTTATGTAACATTCTGCAGACAGGGGAAATGTTTGCTGCTGTTGTATTCTTTGTTTTAAATAAATATCTCTTTTGTTTTTTTTAAATTAATAATTATAGAATTTAAGATATTTGTAGTATTCAACACGTTTTTTTACAATGATAGAAGTCAAGTCAAAGTAACATTTTACAAATGTGAAACAGAGAGACAACAAAACAATCATTATGTGAACAGTGCTATACAAGCTTAAAAAAAACTTACATTTATGTGTGGTGTTACGATTGCTTATTACTCTATTCCTTCACAGTCTCTTTGTAAGTAGTGCTGTAGAAGCTAAAAGCTTGCAGTCGATAAGTTAGGCATCGTTCACTGATTTTTGCTTCTTTCCTTCAGAATTTGGGTTAATGGTGTTTCACAAGCTAAAAGCTTGTGTTTGTGTATTCACTTTGCTAATTACTTTGTTTCTTCCCAGACTGAATCACCACCAGTGCCAGCTGCCAGGACCAAGAATGTTGCTGATCCAATGCCTGTAAGTTGACATAGTCTCAACTGGCAAGTTTTTCTTGCAGATGCTTTTACCATGTGTGTTGTAAGTTGTATGAGGCATACTCCTCATTATGTGCACAGTAAAATATTGATATTGTATGGCACCTTTCTGTTTTTCTAGACCATAGTGTTATATTGCATTATGAGGAGGCTCTGGACTCAGCATAATATGGATAACAGATGATAAATTGGATAATTGTTACCTTTTTCTGCTAGTTCTCATAAAATAAAATGACTGTTAATTATTTAACTTCTGTTTTAGTTCTAAGATTATGAACTGAATAATTGTTCAACTTTTTTGTAGATTTTTTTTCTTTCTGATGTGAGTAACCAGTCATCTTTGTGATTTGACTGTTTTCATGCAAACTAAATTTCACTTATGTGTCCATGATGTTCTTATCAATTCTTCTATTAAATCACATTTCTGCAGCTTCTGCATTTTTTCATTAATGTGCTGATTGTCCATTATTTATTTAACATAACATAACATAACCCTTGACCCATTAGGGTCGTGGAGGTGTATTGATGGAAGCACTAGCACATAAAACTGCCATCTTTCTCTGTCTTCTGCTTGATGAATAAGTGTAAGATAACTTAGTCCTGTCCATTTCTTGATGTTTTCATTCCAGGATATTCTTTTTCCTCCTTTTTCTTTGACTCCTCCCCCCCCCCCCCCCCCCCCCCCCCCAATGTTAATTATTGATGTACAGTATAATTCCTAAACAACGTTCTTTCTCACCCATTTGGAAAAGATAAAATGCTTAAAATACTTTTCATCTTGTGAAATGATTTTTTTTTTTTTTTTTTAGATATCCTGTTTTTCTTAATAATGATCTACATTTTAAATTATGAAATAAGAAAATAAAATAGTTCTCATAAAATAAACTGATTGTTAATTATTTTACTTCTGTTTTAGTTCTGATGATGAATTGAAAAATTGTTTAATTTTTCTGTTAGCCTTCATACAATAAACTAACTGTTAATTATTTTACTTCTTTTTTTTAGTTATCAGATGAGTATATACCAAGAACACACAGTAAGTACAGAACTATTTGCTATATTAGTGATTTCATAAATTATTTAAATTTTCATAATCTATTTTAAAAACAAAACGTTTTAAGTGAGCATGAAACACAACAAAAGCCAAAACTAGAATACATTCTACTGTTCATACCCTGTTCTGTTTTTGGTCTGTTTCCTCTGTTTATACCTTGAATCCTCTTCATTGTCTGGTTTTTCATTGGAAAGTAAGGTAAAAACCTCATTTCTGCTTCTGTAGTGTCTCATGATTGGGCAGCAAATGCAAAAGAGATATAGTGTAAATATATGCACTATAGGAGCAGTCACATCTTGTTTGGAAAGTCATGTTCATTAGATGACTCCAGACCATCAACAGGCAACTGACTGCAAAAGAATGATAATGCTGAAGGTATGGATGTAAACACTGACTCTGTACAAGGCAATGATAATTTGGGATAATGAACCTGTGCAATTGTAAATTATACGACATGGGAAATCTAAGGCCACGTGCACAAATTTGTGTTAATCCATATAGGAGTTTTCAAGATATTTGTTAAAGTGTGATGGCATGAGTTTTGAAACGCACTATTGTAACACTACCTTAGACAGAAAACGAATGAACAGACAAAATAAGTTTTTTTTTTATAAGGGTCACAAATTGGGCATGCAGGCCAGTCTTACATTTGACCCTTCCAAATAACCGTCTTTCACACAGCATTTGTGTTTTATCATTAAAGCATGTTTTGTTCATAAAACGAACGATATGCATATTATGAATATCCAAAAAAAAAAAAAAAGGAAAACCCCAGAGAATTCCCAATGGAGGGGACCAGGTCAGAGAGCCAGGGAAACAAGAGAAAAGGGAGAAAAGCACGTCTTGATTATCCCGTGTTTTGTGAACAGGGGTACGGGAAAAGCATAAGACTGGAACGGGAGGTTTGAACGGAGAGAGTAGGTAGAGTCAGTTGTGTTTTGACCGTGTGAGAGGTAGGTTGTTTGATGATACGACTGAGGTGAACGTCATTGTAAACTGGAGGACCAGCTTTTTGAAGGTTCGAGTGCCTGAGGAGAATTGATTCTGAATGACATCTAGTGTTCTGTGAACATTTGTGTAAGGATGATTCAGAATTCAATACACGAGCGAATGGAATGTTCTGACTGGCAGGTAACTGCAACCATTGTTAAACTGTCATCTTGTCGTGGGAGGCTGTTGTGAGCACGTGTCAACGACTAGGGAGAACTGTGGACATCGACGTAATGACTTATTGTTGTGAAACAATAAACGATATCAAAGTTATCATCATGTTCTGAATGTACGTTCATGTGTCCAGACTTTACATCTTGACTGAGGCACACACAAGATCAAACAAGTAGAACGAGCCAACACCAACAACGTTGCACTGAGATACCAAGGAATGTATGGCATATTTTTTGGTGTAAGAAAGATATAATGAAGCAGTACTTTAACTAGACAATGAATCAAGACAGTAATGAATGATGGCAGATAACAGTTAACTGATAACAAATGAAATATCCAGTGGAAAGAGAGCAAACATTTTAAATGAAAAGTAGAAATTAAAAAAAAAAAATTTTTTAATGCATTAAAAAATTAACCAAATCAAGTTACGTCCACACTGTGTACAAACGAGAGACTAGGTTTCAATAAATAGAAATTAGCCGGACATCTTTGCTAACATTATACCATTATTTTTGATTAAAAAGGTGCAGATGTTCTAAATCAGCTTGCCCACATGAGAGCACAGTTACGAAATGAACGCAAACGTGTACAGACAATGCTGAATGATCAACAAGTATGTATTACATTTATTTTTTTAATTGCACATCAGAGGCTTTCTTTTTTAGAACTATAATTATGACTTGCCCGGAATTGTGGTTGGTGGGCATAATATAAACAATTTACGTTATGCTGATGACTTAGTCTTGATAGCAACAAGTCAGAAAGAACTACAGGAAATGATAGACATTATGGTTATAGAAAGTGGAAGAGTGGGCCTCAGTTTGAATAATGGAAAGACAGAAGTAATAGGGAAATCAAAGAACAGAATTATTCCAAAATGTGTGATAAAAGTCAGTTATTTTGGGACAAGTACAGAAATGTAAGTATCTGGGCACATGGATAACATCAGATAGAAGATGCATTACTGATATAAGAAACAGAAAAGGACAGGCAAAAACTGCATTTTATAAAATAAAGAACATCTTATGCAAATATCCTTGTCATTGAAGGTTAGAAAAAGAATTCTCGCTTGCTATGTACATCCAATTTTGATATATGGCTGTGAGTTCTGGGCAATCAGCAGGCAGGCCAAAAAATTTCTTGAGGCCTCAGAGATGTGGTTTTAAGGAAGAATGATTTAATTTCTTGTATGTAATTTAGAACTGGTTCTGTGCCGACTTTTTCTCTTATGACCTTATTTATGATTTTATCTCTTCTGGTTACTGTCATAGGTAGTATATCTTAACATCATTTCACAATGCAGTCTCAACTCTATGGACCTTATGAGTTGGAAACAAAAATAATGATTGTGTTTTATAAAGAAGTTGTGTTACCATAGTGGTCTTATCTACCGTCTGTCAGTCCCTGGCTTCAGACTGCCTTCAAGACAGGATTATTTTATGATCCCTTATAAATGAGACTAATCTGGTTCATGTAAATTTCTGTAGGTACCTAGTATAGAGCTGATGTCAGCAATCATGATTGTCCAGTCATCACTGTCATTAGTTAAAGTTTAAAGCCCAAAGTTGAGAGGTCTGACAGGTGCACTACATTTGATCCAGTATAGTTCAGTCTCTCTCTCTCTCTCTCTCTCTCTCTCTCTCTCTCTCTCTCTCTCTCTCTCTCTCTCTCTCTCTCTCTCTCTCTCTCTCTCTCTCTCTCTCTCTCTCTCTCTCTCTCTCTCTCTCTCTCTCTCTCTCTCTCTCTCTCTATCTCTCTCCAAAAAATGGCTATCAGCTAGCAGAGAATGTCAAACAAAGCACAAACTCCGTGGCTCCAGCTATTTAAATGAAGTTGGTGCTGTTTTCTTATTTGTTGCCAAGCTATTTCTTCCTCTATCTCGGTTATCTAGTCTATTCTTACAAAAGTTTAAATCTCTTAGTCCATCTCTTCTATTATTAAAACACGACATAACACCAGTTTCTAATATTGCTAACAATTAAATATTCGAACTTGTCATTGATAATTCTGCCTTAAATCTTTTGTAATTCCTGGTCTTTTGTTCCTTCAATCTAGGATGACGTAGATATATTTGATCCTAGAATATCCCAGAGACCTCAACAAGTTCCAGTTATGTAAGTTTCACTGTTTTTTCTGTCACATCTTTATTACCTCTGTGTATACTATATATGCTCTGGCATCTGTGTTTTAGGCGTTGCGAACGAGCTTTGAAATGCCGAGGTGCTGGGTTCAATCCCAGCTGAGGATGATTTGTCTTGCGTTTGTTTCGACAGTGCTACCGAGAGCTGACTGTTCATTAAAAAATGGCAAACTAGTGTGCGTAAATTTTGCCTAGAAAAACCACAACAGCCAAAAAAATGCTGGTGTTGGTTCTGCAATGTCCTGTAAAGGATACACAACTAACTTTTTTTATTCTCTATGTGACTCTAAGTGAGAAATGTTCTGCCCACAGCTACAAAAATGATTCCAGATAGAACATTGATTATGTGTGGCACTGTTTCTTCATATCTATATAGTAATACATTAAAAAAAAAATTTACTTTGTTTAAAACTGATCATTTTAAAAAGTCAACTACATAAGGTTCTGTACACACACAAGGACTTTTACAAACATTCAGGGCATATAGGGCTGGACATAAATGTTATAGACTAATGGCACCAGGTGGGTGATGTGGTCAGCATCACACCAGCCACCTTTACTTCCCAGGTCTGTACCTCATACCTATTTAAGGCTGGGTTCACCTTGGAACCAAGGCCATTTTTTTTTTCCTCAAAGTCTGGCTCGGTCAGGACTTGAGCCCACAACCTTTGGATCCACAGGCAAACATCTAGCTACCACACCACCGCGGCTCCTTAAGGTTCTGTACAAACTTCATAAAAATTAATATCATATCCACAAAATCTTATCAAAGTGCTACAGAACAGAGCATCAATTCTGCATGTAGAAAACATATCCAAAACAGATTTAGCTGCAAAATTGTTTTTAACTCTGTCAGTCCCAGACAGCTACTGACTCTTTCTAGTTGTGATATTTGAATCTAATGAACATTGAATCTTGTCCTGAGAGGTTGACTTAAAAACAATAAGGTTAGAGTTGGTTGGTGTAACAGCTAGAGGAGACACAAGAGTTAAGTGTAGTGTACCATGTGGATTGTTACCAATAAACATATAGTGAGTTGCTTGGTATTGAGTCTGTTAAGTTGCCATCACAAGTAAACATCTTCACAAACAAATAAATAAATAGCAGCAGAGATAAGATGTCTCAGAAGAGGTGCTGGAGTAACAAGAAGAGATCAAATTAAAAATGAAGAAAGTAATACAAGTAAATAGTAATGGACCCTTTTCAATGCTTGTGGTTTATCAGTGGGTCCGCCCCCCCCCCCCCCTTTTCCCCTTTTCCCATAAATATGGCCCCTGAACTCACAAGGGGAGTTCTTATTGTTTGATTCCTGGAAAGAGTTTGAGTCGGTTGGAGTTTTGCTATGAAGACTGTCCTCCTGAGATAAAACTGAAGTACCGTCTATACATAGACTGTGTTGTGGAGCTCTCTGTTCCCTCTCCAGGCACAGAAACTCTAATAGTATGCAAGACTGGTACTGGAACTTCACATTTAAAGAGAGGTGTTTAAGGATGTAACTGAGTAATGACATGGCACAACATATACAAACTGTCTGTGATTAGATCTAGGTTGCTAATCTTTCCTTCATGAGATTTACACACCTCACTGTAACCCAGGATCCAGATGAAAAAAATAAGGACTAATATTAATTGGTATTTCTTCTAGAAGCGGCTGGCTGAGTGGTTTAAAAAAAAAAAAGCGCTGGTCTCTCATTTAGGAGACCCAGGTGTGATTCCTCTATAAGGGGTTGGATTTTGTCTTTTTTATTGGGGAAAAGGGGAGGGGGAGGGGAAGACAACTGCACTAGCAGTGTGGACCTCATTCCTCAGACTTATACCGCCAACTTCTCCGTGTAGGTTCTGAGGCCCTTATTATGGGAGAACAAGAATAGACCCACTGCCTCCCCAACAAGCATATCGTAAGAGTAGACATACTGGGGGCTTCCTTCAAAGTCAGAGTACATTTGCCTGAGAGGCAAGGAACTAAAACTCTGCATACAAATATGTCAGATCTGTAAAACGTTCAGGTTCTGGAATAAGACAACAGTCCCGAAGTGGACAAACAACCAGAACTTTCTGCTGGAGTTTACAGCCTGTGAACACGAGGAAGAAGAGAAGAATGCCTTCCACCCTACCCAATTCTAAGAAATATAGTCAGTAAAGACAGTATTTCTGCATCCATCAAAACTTGGGTTGCTTTTTGTTTTCGGCAGACACACAAAACCAGACTTTGATGTATTTGAAACAGCCATGAACAGAAATGCTGTAGCTGTAAGAAGAACACCTGCCGAGAGAGCTAATCCTCAAGCTGTTGAAGATTTCAATGCTCTGAAACACAAGAGTAAGTCTTTGCATGTTAATTTTGTTTATGGAAACCTTACCATATCTTGAACTTTCTCTTTGTTAAGATATATTATTATTGTTATTGAAAAGTGGTAGGCCGAGCGGTTACACCTTCAGGCTCTTATGCGGGAGACCTGAGTTTGATCCCCAGGTAAGGTGATGGAGTTTTTCTGTCAGGGCATAATTAAACATCCTAACCTATACAGTCCTTGGCGACAGTACTAGCCATGTGGCCCTAAATCCTCAAGCTCATGACCCCCCTGTCTACACTGCCCTAACAAGTGGTAAATGCAGAGAGTAGGGACAGTATTATTGTTGTTATTATCAGCAAGATCTTTCTTTATTCACATGGGTGAGTATTCTTCTCTGACATCACTGCACATTGGGCATTCTCATGTGTGCTCAATCCTCTGATGCAACAGCACTTTAGGGTATTGCTGCAGATGCTTCTTAAAGGAGCTGGTCTCCTCTGTCTGTCTGTCTTGCAGGTGGCATGGACATTCTTTGATGTGCTAATACCTATCCAAGAGACCAAGCAAGACAATGTATCAAATTTTATTTTAAAAAAGCACTACTGAAACTATATTAACGATGTACTCAGAATGGAAAAGACAAGAATCCCCTATCGAGCCCTCATATGGACACTCGAAGAGAAATGAAAATGGGGAAGACCAAGAGAGACCCTGCATAGAACCATTTTCAGAGAAAGCTCAACCATGGGCCTAATGAACATCCAAGAACTTAAACAGGTGGCAACAAACCTCCAGACATGGATAGCTATGACCTCTGCCCTATGTGCCGCCTTAGGCTTAAGAGGAAAGACTGACTACTAACCATACCATGCCATAACCGGATACTGTCAAGAATCTTCTCAGATTGTCTTCATCTATATCTCTTTTCATAAATCTTCACAGTTTGACAGAAGTTGCCACTTTTTCCTTCAGCTGACTAATGTCAGTGTCTGATGTTTATATATGTTGTGTCTTCAGGATAAAAATATGTAGAAAGACATTATGACAAATGCCATACAGCATTAACTATAAGAAGATGACAGAGTAAAACATCCAATGTGACAGTGTTGTTTGTTTATCTCTAATGAAAGATTATTTTTATTGTGCATGACTATCTCCAAAAATGCTCCAATCTCTTCCCACAGATCACACAAGGTGAAATCTCAGCATTGTGCATTCTTTCATCAGTCCCCCCCCCCACCCCCCCCCCACCCCCTTCCCCCCCCCCTACTGGTGTTTCGGGCCCCGGAAAAAATAAACCCACTGCACCCCATGACAAGCTTGTTGTAAAAGCCAGCTAATTAGAGGTGTTTCCATTCGAAGCCGGAGCGCATCTGCCTGAGAATCAAGGAACCAACAGTCTGCACACAACTAAGCCAGATCTGTAAAATAGGTGTACCAACAAAAACTCAAGTCCTGGAGCAAGACAAAAATCTAGAAGTGGATGAACAATCAGAACTTTCTACCAGTGAACATGAAGACGATTTTCATCAGTAGAGATCTAAATGTTTATATATCTTAGAATCGCACATGCTATAAATACTCTTTTTTTGTGTGTCAATAGATTTCTATGTTTGAAATTTACTTTATCCTTCTGTAGCCATTTTTATTGTACATGTGTCATATTTAACTTACATACGGGCTAATTTCAATTTTTCCAGAGGATTCAGATTCTCGCAAACAGTTTAGGAAGTTGTTTCCAGATGAGCCAATCACAGCTGAGGCTTTGGAAACTCAACAAGCAGCACTGCTCATTCAACAAGAGCAACGTCTGCTAAGCATCAGAGAAAGAAGTAAGTTTCTGTCTCTGCCATTTATTTCCTGGTGGTTGGAGTACTCTCCCCTTTGTTATGGTTGTAGAGTCATTTCATATTGAGAAAGGCCTTGGCCAAAACGTTGAGGTGTGCTTTTTGTGTGCAACAATGTCTCTACAACAAAGAATCAGGTAACTGGTTGTAAAAATCCATCATCAGCAATAAAGTGCCTTCTCTAATTCTGGGCACATGGTATACAAGGACAATGCATTTCAAATTATTTACACTTTGGCCAACCATAGATTACTGCGATACTCAGAAGCATCAGCGATCAGCCAGTTTAATCCAGAACTTTGCCGACAGAAGGAAATGCTCATCACTTTGCGGTTACCTTGATAAAACAATGTGTAAATGTAGTTGATTTTGTGTTTTAATTTGAAGGTTTCATTTATTTGCTTCATTTTAATCAATTGTTACTGTAGTATGCCTGACAAGATACAGCGAAATATGCTTGGCAATAAATTGTGCAGTCTATTGTTTGTGTCTTCTTTGTTCAAATTGAAACTGGGAAACATTGCTTTGATCAGTATAAAATGGGTCAGCAAAAAAAGAGAAACAAACAAAAAACAAGATACAGTGGTAACTCGTTATACGTACTTAATCCCTTCCAAATCCTTGCGCGTATACCAAACAAATTTTCTATTAAGAAAAAAAGGGAGAATGATTAATTTATTCCCATGATTAACAGTCTTTTTGTTGTTGGCATATTATATAAAGATTGATGAGGCAGTGCAAACAATTTAATAATAAAATACACAAAGACAAAAGCAATATGATGAGATAAATGGAAAATTTAACCTGGCTTCACCTTGCTAGAAATAGTTTAATGCCTATTAAGATGCTGTTGAGAAGAAAGAGCAGGAGATGCTATTGTTTGGAAGGAGAGCTCAGGAATCTGAAATTCTTGTTTTTTTTTCTCTTTCCTTTTTTCCTTTTTCAGTTCCCTACTTGGACCTGGTTGAGGCTTACTTTGTTTGACTTTTGCAAAAAATCTGTCCAACAAACTTTGCATTTTGTCTTTGTAACTTTATCTGGTCATTCCAGACAGTGTTATTACAGCTTGTTTGGAGTTTTTTTGGAGTGGTACTTCTCTGCACAGTTTTTGACATCCATCCATTCAGCAAAATTTTTTTTGATTAATGAGAAAGATAAACAAGGGTTGCATGCAGTGGTGTGACTCATTTTGACTGATACAGGTTATACAGGTTCAAGCACCTGAGTCATATTCCAATCAAAGGTCACATACCAAGCAACATTTGTAGTACCTTAACAGGATGTATGCCAAGTTGGAAGTATGCCAGAGCGGCTCTATACTATACTTTTTTAAACATTATGTCAGAAAAAAAAAAAACTGAAATCTTTATTGGAGGGAAGAGCTGGGGGCAAAGGAACCTCAGGGTGTCGAAAATGAACAATGGTAAAACTTTAATTTGAAGCTTTGGGAGAGTACTAGGCAAATTCTGTTGAATCAAGAGATGAGAACAAGATACTGATGTTGGATAAAACACATATTGAGAGTAGTCAATAATAATGTAACTAAAATGTTCGTGAACTGCAGCCCACAGAGCCAAGGAAATAAGAGGAGACTTAACAAATACATGAAGAAGAGAATTGGTCTTTGGTGAATCAGATGTGGAAGACATCTGATGAGCTGCATGCAATGGCCAAAAAACAGGATCGTTTGGTGTGAGTTGGGACCAATGCTGTATTGGGTATATAAAAGACTGAAAAGAAACAGTAGCTCAAGGATTAAATTACTAAATCTGTTTGACTTTCTCTAAACAGGTGCTTATGATGGTACACCTCCCATCCCACTGAACAGGGACACCCACAGTTCTTCCTCCCAACTGCAGTCCAAGAGTGCTTTTGTGGGTAAGTTTGTTAAATTACTGTTATATTTACAATAGCTTTACATCTGTGCGATTCCTGGTTAAAGGGTTGACATCATAGCTTACCTGGCGTATCCATAGATGCTCTGTTAATGCTGACTGAGCCAGAGGCACAATGGCTCTACACATATCATCTTCCACCTCTTATATCACTGGCACTATGCCAAAGCCGCCATCATGCAAATTAGGCAGTTTTCACCAAAGTGCATTTTGATGGCTCTTATTTTTAATTTTACAGCAGGCCAAAGATTTTCTACTCCAAATAAGTCAAAACGAAATGTTACTTTTTACACAGTGATACAGTTTTCATATGATCCTAATATTTTCTAAAAACAAGGATTTAGCACCTATGGGACCCTGGCATACTACCAACCAATGCACTTTCTAGTCACATCCACACTTAATTCTAAATTCAGGCAGCCATACAAATTCTTTTATCATCTAAAATTGTGTCTTGCCTCTGAATTCGTTCATATATTGTGTTCTTATACAAGGAATGATCCTGACTATCAAGGAGTAACCAGAAACAAACTGAAAGTTGGTACGTTTATAGTTCATTGTATTGTAACTAAAATGACAGGTTTTTCTGTTATGGCACACAACGCGGTACATCCTGTTCACCCTATCTGCTGCGTAAATTTTTCACCACAAATGGAGCCATCAGATGCCAGAGCTCTGATAAAATTTCTAATGTTGAGGGTTAACACAAAAATAGAAATACACAGGAAAATGGCACTAGTATTTCTGAAATCCTGCCCATCAAATGTTTCCGTAAAAAAATTGGTGCAGGCAGTTTAAGTGAGGTTACATAAATGTTGCTCATGTGCCGATGACTATTGAGGACATTTCCAGTGCAGGTAAACTGGGTAAAGATATAGTTGCTAGAATTTTTACACAACAGACTAAACATGAGAAAAGTGTGGGCCCACTGGGTTCCACGCCTGCTAATGTGTGAACTTAAAGAAATGAGGGTAACGTGCTGTCGACAGTTACTGAAAAAGCGTGTCATAAAATATTTTGATGACTATCATGACAGTAGATGAGACTTGGGTCCGCCATTATGACCCCCAATCCAATCTTGCCACCATGCACCGGAAAACTTCAGGTTCCCCGACACCTGTTAAACAAATGGCTTGGTTTATTATGAATACCTGTAATAGAATTGAACAACTCCAGATGTAAGAAAGAGACAGAGACATGTTTAAAGAAATAAAACATTGAAAGGTGAATTCAGGCCGTCTTTTCATGTAATAAGTGATAAAAACGGTAACACATTAACGGAAACCACAGACATATTAGAAAGATGGAAAGAATACTGTAGAGAAATGTATGAGGATCTGACAAGTAATTCAAAAACGACTTGTGAAAGTTATGAAAAAGAACCAAAGCCTTTACTGGATGAGGTATGATCAGCAATAAACAATCTGAAGAAAGGAAAGTCGCCAGGTTGCGACGAAATACCAGCAGAACTAATTCAAGCAGGAGGAGAGGCCAGCGTCACAATCTACCATGCACTGTGCACGAAGATCTGAAACAGTGGCATTTGGCTTTAAGCGTGGAGAATAACAATCTATATCCCTCTCCCAATGAAAGGAAACTGAAACTATGCTCCAACTACTGTACCATCGCATTAATAAGTCATGCTTGCAAAATCCTCATACGAATTATCTTGAAGAGGATTGAAAGAAAATTACAATATGATCTACATGAAGCACTAGTAGGTTTCAGACAGGGTAGAGGAACTAGGGATCACATCTTTAATATAGGAATTTTTTTTGAAAAATGTAGAGAATAGAACATAGATCTTCATGCTTGTTTCATTGATTATAGCAAGACATTTGATTGTGTCCAACATCAGAAACTGTTGACTGTTATGAGAACTATGGGGTTTCCAGCGCATTTGGTGCATTTTATTGAAAATCATTTTCATGAACAACAAGCAGCCATCAGAGCAGCTGGTGAAACATTGGATTAGTTCGAGGTGCAAAAGGGAGTGAGGCAGGGGGTGCATTCTCTTACCGTACCTGTTCAATATATATGCAGAAAATATAATGAGAAATGTCAAAAATGACCAAACGTGTGACAATTATGATCCACTCAAAATTGTGGCAACCCTATTCTGGAACTTCGCTACGCAGATGACACAGTCCTCCTCTCGAACAGCATAAAGAGAATAGAAAATGTAATATTGTCTGTCCAAAAGCACAGTGAAGATCAAAATCTGTTCTTGAATTTAAAGAAAAAAAAAATAGTATCCTCAGATAAAACTGGCTGTCACCTAAAAAATAATAATAAATGATGAAGAAATTGAAAATGTCACAAACTTTGAATATCTGGGGAAACTTGACATAAATTAAAAGGAGAATGACCATAGCAATGCAAAGATTAAACAGCATTAAAAGTCTATGGTTAAGCACTAGCAAGGAGATCAAAATTAGAATTTTGAGAGCATGCATCTTCTCTGTAGCAACATATGGATGTAAGTCGTGGACTATCTACCAGTCCTTAAAAAAGAGAATAGAGGCTTTGGAGCTGAAATGCTATAAAAAGATTCTCAGAATATCTTGGACAAATAAGAGGAGAAATACTGAAACCTTGAAAAATCTGAACATCAAGGAAGATTGGCTAATAAACAGCATCCTGTCTCTGAAGCTGAAATATTTTGGTCATATCAAGTGCCATGACGGTTTGGAAAAAATAATACTAGTAGGCATGGTACCGGGAAGGAGGGGCAGGGGCCGACCAACACAAAGATGGGCACAGTATATTAGTGACTTCTTGAGTATGAAAGTACATGAGGCGGGAGAGTTGGCGAGAGACCGAGTTTCTTTCAGGCAGACTGTGATGAGAGCGACGTTATGCAAAGGACCTGCTACATGATGATAATGACATTGAGTATCCTGCATGTTTGGTCAATAGTTTTACCCTAAAACCCTGTGCTTTGACAGAAGTAGCAGTTTTTGTTGGACCCCTTCAAGGCAAGGGGCCCGACTATCTATCTCTTCCTGGCGTGGCTTCATAAGATTAGGACCATATCGATAAATTTTAATTTGTGGCATCATGAAATTTGAATGTGTCTCTCTTCGTCTGCTTTCTTTCCTTCGACCTGTCCGATATGGAAAACCCTATCAGTAGCTAAGCTACCATCGGCGTAGCTCTCAGGGTCACTGGAACACTCATGCCCTTCTACCTCTTCGAGGTGGAGACACGTCAGAGAGGCAACAAGATTTCTATGTATTTGTGATAATTAATGCCACAATCACTGAGTAAAGTAAAGGACCCTTTTCCCCGCCTTTAGGCGCATGGGGCATATAGGGTTAGACCTATATTTGTATAGACCAATCGGCACAAGATGGGTGATGTGGTCAGCATCAACCGGCCGCCTTTACTACCCGGGACTGCACCTGGTACCCACTCAAGGCTGGGTCGACCTGGGAGCCAAGGTCATTTTTGAAAATAGTCCGGTTCCACCAGGGAGCGAACCCACGACCTTCTGATCCGCGGTGAGTGTCTAGCCGCTCGGCCACGGCGACCGCCACAATCACTAACAGTTAACATTTACTGGAGTTGTGTCCCTTTCACACCTAAGTATTTTTGTTATGATGTTTGAAGAATAAGTTTGACAAAACTATATATCACCGTTGTCTCCCTTAAAACTTGATGTCTGGACAGTAACTGTCAGTTTATTTTAGCATTGTGGGCCGTAACAGCATAGTGGCCAAGCCAGACTGTCTTGTGCTGGTTTCAACAGATTTATAGAGAATCGACCATTCAGAAGCTATAGCAAACTGCTAAACGTAAATATTTCCTAGTGTAGTCACAAACAGCCATTAATACTGGGGTTGGTTCTGCAACACCCTGTTAAGGATATGCAATGAACTTTTAATGATCTGCGTACTTTCTCTAATATTATGTCATTTTAATTATAAATGTCAGTGTTAACTATTAATCTTGGCTGCCTTATCTGAATTCGAAAGTGTCATATACATCTATCATGCAGTTTATTGTAAAATGAAAACTATTTAATTATTTTGTGTCATAAATTCTAGCAGAAATAAAATGTATGTTTATGTCTGGCCATAAAAGTAATATAGCAGCAGGGACTTATACATATTACATGGTTGAGTTGGACATGTCATAAATCTAGTTAACTGCAAGTTTTAATTTCTCTGTATTGATAGTTGTAGCTTTATGATTTAAATATGTCAGTTTGCACACATAGCCTTTGATTTACTTTAACATACCATGCCCTGTATTGATAAACAAATTAACAAGTATTGATTGGCATTTCTTATAAAGAAGTAGGGACAAGAGGAGATAACTAAACACAACAGTGTTCAGTGTTGTCATCTGTGTTGTCAACTATGTTGTCTGTATTATCAGTTTTGTCTGTGTTGTCATCAGTGTTGTCTGTGTCGTCAATGTTGTCTGTATTGTCATCTGTGTTGTTTATTTTGTCATCAGTGTTGTCCGTGTTGTCATCTGTGTTTTCTGTGTTGTCATTAATGTTGTCTGTGTTGTTTGTGTCATCTATGTTGTCTGCGTTGTCATCTGTTTTGTCTGTATTGTCATTTATATTGTCATCTATGTTGTCATCTGTGTTGTCTTGTATTGTCATTTGTCTTGTTTCCTATGGGTCATCCATGTTGTCCAGAATGTCCTCCTAAATCTTAACAATTCATTTCACCTCCTGCATCCCATTCATTGCTTTCCTTCTTTCCACTCCTGCTACTATATCTGCTGTTACTCTCCTGTTTATTCTTCTCTGTTCCTCTACTTCATGATTATTTTCTTCTTCTCCATTCCTCTACTTCATGATTATTTTCTTCTTCTCTGTTCCTCATCTTCATGATTATTTTTTTCTTCTTCGTTCCTCTACTTCATGATTATTTTTTTCTTCATCGTTCCTCTACTTCATGATTATTTTTTTCTTCTTCGTTCCTCTTCTTCATGATTATTTTTGTTTTCTTCTTTCCTCTACTT